TTTCTTTTGTATAAGTAGTGCAAATACCAATAGGTTGAAATAGTAAGCATCATTTGTCTTTATTCATCACAATGAGCTTGATAGTCTCCCAATACTTAAAATATTTTGTTGAGATCCAAATACACTGTATTAACAAAAAAGTAATTGCATAATCATGTTATCCTTATGTACTGTATGATTCAAGGAACCAGCAGTTTCCAAATGACCAGCACATGTAACAAAATTAGCCAAAGTACATCTATTCAAAATGTAAGACAGAACAAATGGATTTTAATGCAAGTTATAAAGCTGATTGATAAGTTTCAGTCCTCACAATGCAACCTTGAAGAAACTATCAGTTGTAAAGTTAAAAAGTACAAGGTATCAAGAGGAATATCCACAATTATCTGAAGTTATTTAAAATGCACTTTTCCAAGGCCTCCCTGGTGGCGCAGCAGCTGAGCGCTGGGTTGCGAAGTTGCCCGCAGCCTCTGCAGCACCAGTTCCATCCCCGGCTGCAGCCCGGCCACCAGAGGAGGGTCCTACATGGCGCGCAGACCTCTCCTGCCGCCCGCTGCTCCCCTCAGCAGTGTGCTTCGGTCCTTCTGCCTGTTCTGCTCCCCACTCTAGCTCTGGTGAATTCTCTCACCCTCCCGCACTTCTGACTGTACCCAGTGCTTGTATAAATAAATAAATCTTAAAAAAAAAAAAAAAAAAATGAGAATCCTAAAAAAAAATAAAATGCACTTTTCCAAATATATAACTTGCGCGAGGCCAGATTTCTTCACATACTTCCAAGTGTCACATTGCAACAGATTAAATGTAGAAGCAGGTAAGAGAACCCAGCCCAACATTAAAGAGCTTAGGAAAAAAAAGATCAGTGCTACCTGTCACACTATACTTTTTGGATTTGAAAAATAGTTTTCCATAAAATGTTACTCATGTTAACATGCAATGATTTTACTTTAATGAATTTAGTATGTAAAGAATCTTGGTTTTAATTTCTAATACAGTAAACAACAGTTAAAACCCACACACGCGAAAGTTCTTCAGGCTCTTCAATTTATAAGAATATAAACGGACCCTGAAACAACAATTGAGAACAGTCCGACTATGGAATTCAGGTTAGTAAACACTGATAATAGGCTTTCTTTTGCTAACCCACACATTATTTGTATTCCAAGTGATGTAAAAATGTTTCCCAAGTGGAAGAGGCTAATTAGTATTGTTTTATAGTTTGGTTAATTCCGCCCTAGGAATCACAATTGTCCTACATGGTTTTGTGTGAAAATTTTCACAATAAGTATATGCTAACTATATAAAATTCTTCAAATAACATTCAAAAGTGAAATTTTATTTTTAAAATCATAGCAAATACTAGTATGTCACACTGTTTTTATCAATTCTTTATTTAGTAACAAGTTGGTTATGTTCACTGCATTGTATGAAACATCACAATATCATACTGGAAAGGTACTATCATATCAGTACAGGGTTGGATCAGAGTGGACAGTTTGAACAGTAAACCATTTTTGCATTCTTTATTCCCTATCTTTTAACAACCCCCAAAACCCAGTAAAGGGACAAATAGCTTTTAACATTATCATGTAAAGTACTTTAACTTACAAGGCTAAAATCCAAAGAATAAATAAAATATATTGTGGCAATAATTTCTTTTAGACCAAAAATCAGGTGCACAATAAATCAAATGATCAGGAAAGCTGTATTCAAATGTGTGGCTCTCCAGAAACAGCTTCAGGAAAATGTTACAGAAAATACCATGAATTCCATTTCACACAGGACCAGATGATGATTCATTTTTACACACAAGGGCAATTACATCCTGCTGAAACACAATTTAAACACATAGGAAAATGTATACAACGCATCCACAACATGTAAACCATGTACAAATGGATACATTCATTGCTTCTCCTACCCAAATAGCTTCTTTTAGATAAATATTTTACTCTTCATGTTCAGCATTAACTGGATACATGCAAAACTCAAAAGAATTCAAGGTTATTGTAAAAATAGAATTAAACTAATAATCTTCAAGTACCTTATGTGACAGCCATTCTGTACCGTGCCCAATGTTATAAAATGAAAGGTTACTAAACCCATGAAAATATCTCTGTAATATTTCCTTAGATCTAAAATAGATAATTTTCAATGTATTTATAGTAAGTTCAATGTGATATTCTGAGCTTTTAAAATAACGTAAACAATTAAAAATTATACCAAATTACACAAAACTTGTATCTTAAAAGCTGAAAAATTAAAACTATAGAAACCCACATGAAAAACAAAAATCACAATGTACATTATAAAGGCAAATATCATCATTTAAAAAAATTTGCAGCAGTGAGATGTCAAAGCAAATTATAAATAGCCATAAATTAATCCATTTGGTTTCAAAAGGTTTTCTAGTGAGAGTTGAAGGATGTAGTAGCCACATGCATAAAATGTGTTAAGGGTTTATGTTATTGCCAAATACACTTTATCTTGAAGCAGGCAACAGCACAATTTGGACATTATTGGAGAACCCAGTTTGGTAATACAGGTAAAATTGGAAAAAATTAAATAACAATTAATAATAAATATATATCCTATAGTAAATTGCTTAAACGAAATTTCAAGCCACAGAACTGCAATAGGCTTCCAACGTGGTGAACTGAAAAAAGGATCATCTCATACAATTCTTTACTCTTACATGCTTATATGTTGTGTGTTTTGATAAAAATAAAAAACATAATGTATCTTCAGAGTACAGCTAACTATATTCCCATGCACCTCAGGCACATTTGTTATTTGTGGTGAAATAACTCCATTGGTTTCTAGGGCCAAAAGTTCAATACAGATGTAACCAGTATGCCCGAGGTTGGCAAAAAATACTGTAGTACAGGCAATGCTACAAGTGGCAATTATCAGAAAACACAAATATGAACAAATGATGGGAAATGCTAATGATTTTCTGCTCATATCACAAAACGTTGGGAATCCACAAGAATATTTTTCCCTTGTATTGAAGAAAATTGTGATTAAAAGTTTTTTTTCCCCCAATTTTCAGAATCAAAAGCATTTTAGAAGGTTTATAAGGCTACCATGGGTCTTCTAGATCTCCAGCACCCTACAGGAAGAAAAAAGGAAGAATATTATTATTATTTACCTACACCACTTCCAGGCTGGATTGAATTTCAAAAGAAAACAAAATTAGATGAACAAATTACCTTCCTCTCTTTGTTTGAAAAGGTACTTTTACAGAGAGATGTGTGTATTGTATATTGTGTGTATACACATGTTATCTAATAAAGAAAGAACACTGGTTGGTTTTTTCTCCCCTCTCCACCAAATGCCTTCCTCTTTTCTCAACCACTTAAAAATATTCTGGCATTGGAAAAAATAGATCAAATCATCAGCGGTATCTGAAGATGCCAAAGTTTCAACTTATGGTACCTTAAGCAATTTTAGACATGATAAATATAAACATGAAAAGTTAATGTTCTACATTCACAAACTTATTTTAAAAAATATTTTTTATGAGACTTGATCACTTGTATTTAAAAATCCATTTTAACAAAAACAAAACTCATATCTGCCACTATTGAAAATATCCCATAATTCTTGCGTTTATTAAGCTCTGATGAATAGTTCTAGCAATGTTGTCTATCTTCAATTTTTAAGGTGCTCATCATGGCATGACTATGTGGGTTCTTACTGTGCAAAGAGTAATATTTTGTACCACAAAAAGGGGACAAGAAACAGAATATATTTACTTTGAGTAAGCAAGACTTCTCAAAAAAAAAAAAAAATTCCCTTCTAGTTAATGGAAAAAGACAAGTCAAAAGTTTTCTAAATTCTATATAAATACAAATGAATTTCTATTAGATATTTTTCCAACATACCAAACCTGGTTGTTTCAAAAAAAGTAATTTAAAAATAAGTACAACATGCATAGATTATTCCACATCACATGCTTTATTTGGACTTAAACACTTAAATTTCATTCTAAACACTTGATTGACATACATTTTGATGTATGTAGTTAGGCTATACAGAATATACAAACCAAAACTGTATGAATACATAGGATTTTCAAAAATTATGTTTCATAAAGAATACAGAGAAAGGAAAAATAATCACACATCCAATACCTCAGGACTTCCAAAAATAAAACTACAGAGATGTAAAATATAAACAAGTCAAACAACACACAAAATATCATCCTTGAAAAAAAAAAATTACAGGCCAGCATCTACCATTCTTTCACAAACTAAAATTACTAAAGGAAACACAAATATATCATAAAGCTAACTATGAATGTACTAACATGTAAAATAATGTGAAGCATCATTCTACATTAACAAGCTTTTCCACAATATAATGCAATCTCACTAATCAGCAATTTCTAATCTTATCTCGTACGAGCTTAACTACTGGCTTTGATCATTGGTAGCCTAATGTCTGGCATACATTATGAAATGACATGTAATTTTAATAAATTCAAAGTACTATAAATAGTCAATTTAAAACTATCTGATAAAAGTGTATGCAAAGGCCTTCTTAAAAAACAAGGCTATATGAATAGAATAAAACTAAATTTACCAAGAGTCAAATAACAAAATGGTTATATAAATGCATACATTGTACTTCCTAGGCAAAAACCATCAAATCAAAGATCACAAAAATATTACCACAAAGTAAAGTCATATTTTTCCACCACCACTCATCTTTGTCCCTGCATCTTCATTAGAGCTGTCTAATTCAGCCAGACCACTGTGTGATTCAGTATGGCTTTCCTGCATTGTCACTGGGTTGCCAGCGTCACTGTTCGAAGAAGGAGCTGTAGCAGCTGGGTCAGCAGGGCTTTCTTCTCCCTCTACTTTAGCTAGCCTGTAACTAGTCAGCATCTCCTCCAGAAGTTGTCGGTAGTTTCCCCTATGATTAATTCTCATTTGCCTGAGAGCTTCCACCAATTTTCCCTGTGATCCACTTTCCTCAGCTTCATCGGAGGCCTTTTTTTAAGATTCAAGACCCCAGTGTCAGTAGACAAACCAGGATATCACATGTATTTCAAACACATCACAGCAAAACACTCATTTCTCTACTATGAGCAAATAATACAGTGTAAACATGAGAACATTTCATTAAGTTAGTATAAAGTCTGACTTGTCAATTAATAAAATCTTTCAATTAAAATAGCTCATTATTTTTTTAGCAAATTACCATTAACTAGTTTGTCTTAGTTCACATTATCAAAGTTTACTGACATTTACTCTATTACAATTCAACAAACACAAGCATTTCCTAAAACTTACTTAAAAAAACAACAAAACAATTGGCTATGATTTAGCACAGAAGGAAATTAGTGTAAAGCAATAGGAAAGGACAGAAAAGGAAGCCATCAGAACATTAAGTTTTTCATTATTTGTGCTAAATGACATAGGTTAAGAGAGGGGATAGACAATGTAGTACTATATAAATTTAAACTGGGTATACTTAAAATTTTAAAACTTTATGGATGAAAATTTTATTTACTTATTTATCATTAAATATTTTAATAAAAACATATCTAGATAAAATAAATTATTTTGAACATTATTAAGATGAACAGTAAACTCAATCTTTTTATCTTTTATTAAATTTGGGGAAACTTACTGATTAATCTAGAGTAGCTAACTTAATCTTGTTATAAGAACATGCTCTAACATCCAAGCTGAATTAGCTGATAACTATTAGACAGACTAAAAAAGATAACCTTATATTCTGTGCCTTCTGACTTGATAAAGAAGCACAGAGCCATGTCCTGTGTTCTTGCCAAAAATGTTTACTATAAATCTAAGAAAGTTAATTCCCGATTTACAGGAAAACGAAATAGAGACTTGAGATAAAGGACACAACAATGAAATAATCACCACCCAGAATTTAGGATAAGCCATGAAACATAGCTCAGGCTCTTCATACTCAGTGTCAAGAGGGGGGAAAGTACTTCATTAAAGACTTACTTAATATGCCTGACTGATAACAATTTGATTAGACCACAAAATAACAACAACAGCAGTCATTCCAGGAACAAATGGTAAAATTCAAGCTTGATATTAGATGATACTATTAAATTTATTTTAATTTTCTCAGTATGATTAGTATTTTGGTCATGTAAAGAAATGTCTTAATTCTTAAGAACTACATGACAAAATATTTACAGGTAAAATATTATGATGTCTAAAATTTGGGGTCAACCAAGAGAAAAAATAGTGTACACACACACACACACACACACACACACAGAGACATGGCAAAATGTGAACAGTTGTTGAATCTAGGCAGAAGACATGTAAATGTTAACTATTATTTCCATTTTTCTCTATGTTTGGAAGTTTTGATCATAAAATGTTTGGAAATAAGTACAAAAAAAGTTAAAATTTGATTAAAAGTTATGTTAGTGTTATTTCAGTCAATACTGGTGAATTCAAAAGATAAAGAACCTCTCATGCTCCTTCTGACACCTTTATTATTAGAGTAATCACCTTTTTTTGGGTGATTTTTTATAGTAGTTATAGTGGGGAGGAGTAGTTTCTTTTAACAAACAAATACATTAAAACCAAACCTATAAATCAAGTATGAATGGATTTACAATGGCTGGAATTATAGAATTACTGAACTGAAAAGAATTTGAGCTAATGACCACATTTTAAAGTCATTTTATCTTATAGTAAATTATATTTTCCTATTGTGCTGGATAGAAGATGGATGGGCAAAGCCTCTTTCCCAGCCATTTCATTTGGTTCTTCAAAATACTGTTACACAACTCTCTTGTGAGTTTTCATTAATATCAGAAAAGGAACCTATTATTTAGCTGTACTTTTTTTTTACTTGAATTCATACACCGTGTATACATGTACTATAGCAATTAATTTCCTCTTACAACTGTTTACGAGTCTCTCCAATTAGATTATAAACTCTTTGAGGTAAAAGTAATTTGATATTCCTTTATCCTCCTACCACCTTGGAAGGAAAATTAATGTTTGTGCTAAGACCTTGATAAAGATAATCTCATTTAATTCTTACAGTTATCTTGCATAATAGGCACTGCAAGCCTACTTTCTATAAGTAAAGAAACTATGGCTCAGATAGATTTACATGATTTGTCAGGACAACAATGCTAGTAAGTGGCAAAGCTCAGATTTGTGTGAAGGTGTAATAAAAATCCATGTCCCTCTAAACGTTCTTTTCAATACATTATTGTATGTAACAGGTTTTATAGTAAATGCCCCATAAAAACAGATACTTAAAAAATAATGGTTAAAATTACTATAGCGATAGACCTCAAATGATTTCATATTGAAGGCTACAATGTATTCCCCTTGATACAGGAAGATTAAATGAAATTATAGGACAATCATATTAGATGGACTGGTTAAGATTATTCTGCAAAATAAATTTAAGGCAATTACACAGAGACTTGTCCTCCAGTTTTTTTTTTAACAATTTTACTGTCGTCTAGGTTAACAGAATTAAATCTCTCATTCAAAAGTAAGGCCTTATATCATCATATAATACTTAGAATACAGAAAAATCAAACAAGAACAAATAAGTTGGAAGAAATCTAAGCACAGTTAAAATATAAAAGTTAACTACTATTTACAAACATTTTTTAAAATATAGTTGCCATAAGCAAAATTCTTCAAATGACTAGCCAAAGCTGGAAAAATAGTAAAGAATGCTAGTATAAGTATTTTCTGTTGAGTCCTATTTTACTCCTATGCTTGTCAGCTATAAAGAATTTTTGGCAGTAAAAATTCTCAAATATTATTTCATAAGAAAAAATTTAAGTAACTAATGAAGAATCTAATAAATTTAATGTTACTGGCAAGATTCATGTAAAATTTAGTGAATTTGAAATAATTTTTAAAGAGTCATTGAAGTGGCCAAGATCACACAGCTACGAAGTGATATATTAAATCATACCTTAAAAAATAACTAATGTTATGAGCATTATGGTCTCTATAAAAATGCTTTGACAAGCAAAAACACAAATATGAAATAATTTACAAGAAACTATTATTAGCACAGTTCTAAAACTAACACAAAAAAGGCAGCTATGTTTACTATAACTTTTATTTGAAATATCTATATAAAACTTAATAATGTAAAAACAAAACACAGATCCTCTGGCGTTCTGTCTTATCTTTTGCGCCCCTTCTCAAAAATCAAAATGCCTTAAAAAGTTTTTGTATTGGGATTCTAAAAATGTGTATGCAAATGAAAAATAGTGGATAAAAAATAAGGGTTAACTATTTTATTTCAACAACTTTATAAAATATTCCTATTCAAAACCAGAATAATTTAAGACTATTAAGCACAAGATTCACAAAAGAATGAGAAATGATTTTTCTTAGAATGTAGACACAAATGTAATCTCTAAATAGCTTAGAGATGAAGATTGGAATGGTATAAAGAAAATAATTTTTGGAATCGCTCAGATTCAAATTCTTACTACACAATTTACTTAGTTTTATAATCTGAGCAAACTACTTAATGTTATCTACAAGAAGGGTGTTGAGATTACCTATCATATATGCAGGAGTTGGGTAAATGCAAATTCTCTTTTTTATCCTTGGAAAATATCAAATTATAGAGCAACTTGGTCAGAGGGAAAAGCTTAACATTTTTGCATAGAAAATATAAAGCTCTAAAAACAATTTCATACCAATCAGCAACTTTAAATTATTTTAAAAAAATGTATGACTTAAACAACATCTTAGCAAACAACTAGAAGAATAAATAGAAGTAATTATTTATTGAGCTCTCACCATATGCCATTGGTTGCAGCTGGGAGTACAGCCATAAATCAGGTGAAATCCCAGATCTCACAGAATTTATATTCTAGTTACAAAACACAAACCAGAATCTCTTTTTTTTTTTTAAGCGGACTGACCATATGTATTTTCTGATAACTAATATCAAATAATTGTCTTTTTTATTTTTTTTTAATAATTGTCTTTTGGATTCAGGTATTTTTTTTTTTCATATCCAGCTATTTTTTTAAATTTTATATAATTATTGTATCATTTTTCATTTTTGCACAATGTACGCATTGTCATTTTGATACAAACTGGAATCTTAAAAGGGGATGATCTCAGTGTTTTGCCTAGTATAAAAACAACCTATAGCAAAATGCTGTTTTTTTTTTTTTTTTTCATTTCCTAGGTGATTATTCTTTTGGGATCACAGATTCCTTTTGAGGAACTGATTAAAACCCCCAGATATATCACTAAAGAATGTGTATGTAACACATGAAGATATGTTCAAAAACTTTCTGAAGACTCATGAATTCAATTCCTTGATTATGAATTCCTGTTAAGACTGATATTCCCCTAAATAGTCAATTATCTGACTATATTTTAAAATGACTTAATTTCCTGACATAATTCATCTTTTACCAATAAATTATCCAAAAAAAATTTTTAATGTAAGATAAACGAGTGACACTCTAATTCTAATGGTACTACTTACAGGAATTTACAGAACAATCCTTTTATAAAAATATCTTAGTAATTAAATAAATCTCTGATTAGCATTCTCTTAATGTCTAAACAAATTACTTTTCATATTTAAAATTCATTTTTATAATATCTCCAATTGTCTCCTCTTCTCCAGTTCTATCACATTTTTGTCTTTCCCATTCCACAAGTTAACTATCAGCTCCTGCCACCATACTTCTGGCAGTATCTTCCATATGACATAGATCTAACTAAGTTGGGAAGCTTTTTTGGAGCACATCTGTGTTTAGCTCACCTCAAAATGAGGTCAAATGAAAAGCTAAGAATTTAACTAAGCATTGGTAATTTCTTCTGCTTTTTTCACGTTTTAGTACTTTCTTACTACTTGTAATTATGGTTCAACATTTTGTAAGGTCATGTTTATTCTGAAAGGGTAATGTTTCCCCAGAATAGGATTCTGAATTGCAAAGTAGTTTTTATAGTAAATAGGTTTAGGCTCTCTAATCCATATATTTATCTACTAATAGTGAGCTTACACTTATACTTAGTTTACAACTGTTCACCTACTGACTTTCAGCATTTCTTAAATGTACATATTTCCAAAGATTAAAGAAACAAAGAATACTCCTTTGAGTCTATCATTCTTATGCTCTTGAAATATCAAATTCAAAAGGTCACTCCAGTATCTTAAAATTTAAAAAAAAAAACCTCTGGCATCCAAATTTTTTCCCCCACCACAGCATTTCTCTGGTCTAGTCAAAATGATGTCCTTTTTTTCAAAGATAGCTTTACAACTTTGTCCTTGCCTCTTTTATCCACTTAAACCTATCATCCTTCTCATTGAATTTCTGTCATTCAAATCATCCTTTAAATCCATTTTTTTCTCTGAAAAATCTGATTTTCCCAGTAAGCCACTATACAATTCAAAAGGCAATTAATCATATTCTATATCTGGTCATTTCTTTTTAGTCTTTACTAAGTTATGTGTAACAATTTTACTATTTAACTTGCGTGTTTATACACTGCAAATTGCACTGCGAGAAGGGAAGAGACTGTGACTTATGGTTTGTAGTGTCTTCCATACATCAAACCATCACATAGTAGACTATAAGTGGTTGATCTGTTGTATTAATAGAAATCATACAGATAAAGATAGTTAAGTATTATCTCCTTAATTTATATAGTCATATAATAATCATATTTAAGCCAAGTTTTATAATCTCAACATCTCCCCTCAGTTTGATGGTTGTGTTGCCTATTTATTCACTGCTTATATATCTACTATGTTAAATATTTTCTATTTTTAAAGAAATTTAAGTCATCCCTGATACATGTTAAACAGAAATATAGAGTTATAAAACATTTCTTAAAATCTTGTTTAGAGTAAAAAATAGTCAATTTTTGAGGGACCAAGAAATTCAGGAGGGTATGGTGAAATAATTTTGAGATTACACACTGGGGTTGCATTTTCAAACACAAGAGGAGACAGGAGTATTTACATAACTAATGAAGACTCAATAACTATCTGTGGAGGGTTTATTTCCTCTACCCATAGTGGTAGATGCTGTGTGGAACTTTTAATCTAGATAAAGAAGTCAGACTGTCTCCACTCTACCTCCCAGTTACCACCATCATTTTAGCTGTTCCATATCCTATGCTCTTGATGTAGGGCTCTCTGACTACATCACATGACAAATCTTTATTTTAAATTAATTTATACAGTCTTAGATATAATTCTTAATACTTAAAGGTCTCTCCACAACAAATTCAGAAACACTGCTCTAGGTGAAGATATAAATTCTGCATTAGGAATATAGAGTACCACTTTTATTCAGCTCACTAAAATATAGTAACTCTAAAAATTTCCTTCTTGTTAGGATACTTTCATTGCTAAGAAAAAAAAGTTATATGTAATTGCTATGCAGTAATGAATCCTGAAAAACAATGTAATTGAGATGAGATATAATTTTTACCAGTGACTGCTCTCTCTCTCAATGCCTGCCAAGAGTATTTGGAGACATGCAAGATGAGTCTTTTCTTCTCAACAAGTTTCATTACTAAGTTTGGTTCCCTTAAATTTCTTAAAAATGTTAAAAATTATTTTTAAATGTACAAAAACTAGAAAACCCTATGAGAAAATACTTGTTTGAATTACTTTGAAATTTAGGGTAATTAAAACAAACAAACAAAAAAGAGACTGTTTTGTCTCCTGGAACTATACTAAGACAAAAGAAAAAATATTACAGCTGACAGCGTTATTAGTATTTCTAAGGATGGGAAAAGGATGAAGAGTTTTGCTCTGATGCAGCACAGCAGGGTACAACAAAAATGGTTATTTCAGTTCAGCACTCACAGACCCACACTACAACAGTAAGATTAGAAATTATCCTCAGGTATTCAACTGGGCACACAGTGGCACTGAAAGGTCTGGTCTATCACTATCACTAATTTCCAGTGATGGAGCAGCCTGCTGGAGGAGAAATTAAGATATTTAAAAGCACATTCTTTGTCTCAAAATTAAGATTTAAGGGAGAAGGAGAAGAAAGGCAGACATACAGGGAGGAAATAAGTGCAGTCCAAACAAAGAGATATTAAATGGCCAGGGTAAGTGAAACAAAACTATCTACAAAACATCTCTATTTCAGTTCATCTCCTTAAATTTTAACTGACTCCTTAAGATGAAAAGCAATAATAATTTATTATAAATGTCAGTATGTGAATCTAGTATTTATATTACAAAATGTTACTTAAAATGCTTAAGAAATAAAACAAAACTTACCCCATCACTTTCTCTATGTGGATTCAGCCTACTATAAACAGCTTCAATAACATTGCGCCTAAAAAAAATTATGCTTCAGCTTTATTAAATTACATACAATTATTAAGTTTTGAGTATTTCATAAAATAACTCACCTAACTACACTTAAAAATTGCCACGTGGCTTCTATAGCTCTCAGAATTTGATCTTGCACAATGCATTTGTTTCAATTTAACAAGGGAAGAATCTTCATCCTTACAGAGTACGATAAATAATTCCTTTAAAAAAACTCGGGGGCCTCCTCGGTGGCACAGTGGTTGAGCATAGTGCTGTGAAGCTGTCCGCAGCCTCTGCAGCACCAGTTTGATTCCTGACTGGCCAGGGAGATTCCCACATGGCGAGGCAGACCTCTCCTGTCTCGCCTGCTGTTTCCTTCAGCAGTGCACTTGGGTCCGTCTGCCTGTTCTACTCCTTGCTGTGTCTCTGGTGAATTCTCTCACCCTCCCACACCTCTGGCCTGTACCCCAGCTCTTGTATAAATAAATAAATCTTAAAAAACAACAACAACAACAACAAAAAAACACACCTCTTTGGAATGAAATTTTTAGAGTTCTTCTCTGGCACAAGAATCATCAACCCATTTCATCTTTAGATAATTGATGTACTTCTTACCCAAATTATTTAATTGCTAATTATAAATGCACTCAAAATTAGTTCTTTTTGTTCTACTTACTTGGCAGCAAGACCTCCCCCAGGAGGCAAATTTGGGATATTTTCTGCAGACAAGATGCGCATGACATGGGCAAGATCAGGCATTCCTTCCTCCCCAGACTTCTCCATAATTTCTGTTTTTTAAAAAGAGTGTTTATATTAATATGATAAACTCAGTAATCACAATAGAACCTATTTTAAAACATAAAAAACAAACATTATCTTACCATCACACAAGAAACAAAAAAGTAATTTTAAAACATTATCTGCATACATATGTTCATTTCAGCATTATTCACAAAAGCAAAATCTGGAATTAAATGTTGAAAAATAAAGGACCTGTTAAGAAAATTTTGGTGAAATGAAATGGTTTACAATCACCAAAAATTCCTGTGAAAATAGCACAGATGAATGGAAAAACATTTCTGATCTTTTTTTTTTTTTTGTGGGACCCTCGCCGGCGGCCGGGGAATGAACCAGAGCTGCAGAGGCTGTGGGCAGCCTCCCAGCCCAGCGCTCAACCACTGTGCCACCAGGGGAGGCCCTATAGGTTTTTTTGATGCCTAGTTTTGTTGCACAATTTAAAATAAAAAAGGAAGATAAAGCACATAACTTGATAATGCTTAGAACAAAATGTTTACACATTCCATTTCTATTTACACTTTTTGGAATCAAAATATTAACTCTTCAAATATCAGATAATAGCAGCATACTCTTAAGACAACAAAAAAGTAGTGTACTAAAGAACCCTCAATATGCAAAATCCATACTCAATTTGAACTTAACTTTCATTGCTCCCATTCAACAGTGCCCTTAACTCTCACATCTCCAAAAGCTCTATTCAAAGAAGTCTTCTCTAGCCTGTACATCATCACATATACTTTTGTTTGAAACACTATGTCAGTACAACCAACACATTGTATAGTTAGCTTCTATTCATCCTTCAGGTTTCAATTTTATATGTCACTTTCTTAAATTTTTCTCTGACTTAAGTTTGCAATACAAACTGTATTTCATTGTACAAGAACTTTACTATATTATACATTGCAAGCTTCATGAGGACAGGACGGTAATTTTTCTCTTACACTTACTTCCCTATAGTACACTTTCTCAACAATATTGACATCTGGGGCCAACTTTTTGTTGTGGAGGTTATCTTTGCAGTGCAGAATGTTAGGCAATATCCCTGGCCTCTAGGTACTAGAGCTGCCCCCCTCAGTCATTAACACCAAAAATGTTTCCAGACATTGCCACATGTCCAACAGGGGACAAAATCTCCACCAATTGAGAACCACTGAAGTCTAATACATTAACAGTCAATTTCCATACCCCTTCACTAAAGCAACTGTAGTCCAATGGAAACTATGGTGGTTATGGTGGTTTCTCCTGTTTCTGCTTATCTTGCAAGAACAGCAGGGCAGGTTTGTGACAGTGAAATAAAGGGACAAAAATGCCCCGCCCACTTGAAATGAGGATAAAACAGATTTCTCATGATTAACAAGTTGTGTTTCTGAGCACAGGCCCAGAAAGCATTCACTACTTTGAAGTACCCTCTTACTACCCAGAAAAAAATAGACATGAAAAGCAAATCTAAGATGCTAGTTCATAGTTAAAGAGACACCATTGAGAAGGGATGAGCTCAGTTTTACTGTAGTTCTAGATCCATGATTTAGCAGAAAGCAAACAATCAGACTATACCAACTGACTTTTTTTTTCATACTCTATTCTTCGGCCCCATAGCTTCTGCCCAAAATGCCATCCTCCATTAGCTTTGCTCCAGTTTTCTAACAAGTGACCTAGAATTAAAGTGTTTTCTCAAAAACTGGGGGGATGGTTATTGGCTTCTGTGCAGTGGGTCCATGTTAGCCAACACAATGCACCACCATCATCTGCCATCTGCGATTGTGCATTTTTTCTTTTTTTCTTAAAGATTTATTTATTTATTTATTTATACATACATACATACAAGCACTGGATACAGTCAGAAGAGCAGGAGGGTGAGAGAATTCACCAGAGCCAGAGTGGGGAGCAGAGCAGGCAGAAGGACCGAAGTACACTGCTGAAGGGAGCAGCGGGCGGCAGGAGAGGTCTGCGCGCCATGTGGGACCCTCCTCCGGTGGCCGGGGAGCAGCCGGGAATCGAACCAGCGCTGCAGAGGCTGCGGGCAGCTTCGCAACCCAGCGCTCAACTGCTGCGCCACCAGGGAGGCCCAATAATGCCTTTTTTCTAATTGGTTTCTTGGCTTCCTTTTTACAATCCCCTTGTAAAGGGGTTTGCCCCCCATCTTTACAATCTTTCTCCATACGGCAACTGAGAGAGATTCTTTTAAAAAGTCAGATCAGGTCACTCTAAATCTTTTAATGAACTCTCATCACCATCTGAATAAACTATAAAGTTCTTGTTTTGGGGACCTACAAAATTTACTTCTTAGCAAGCTCTCTTAGTCATTTACTTTTCTACTAACTCATTGAAATCTGGGCACTCTGTATACTCCTCCCCACCCCCATCTTGGCTGCTGCCTTTGTCTTGAAGGCTCTTCCTCTGATAGTCTCCCATTCACAGGTCTCTGCTCAACTGCCTTTTCTGAGCGACCTTTCTATTCCTTGCTATTCTCTTCTTTTAAAAATAGTTTTAAAATATTAGAATATAAACTCCATGCGATCTAAAATTTATGTTTTCTGCTATAACTCCAGGGACACAATATACCAGAATGCTTTTACTTCAAAAGCATTTCAGATTGCATGATTTCAGATTGCATGAATTAAAACCCAATAGAAATACAACCCTTATGAAAAAGAACATCTTAAGTAACAATGTAAAATGATTTTGCAGTGGTTGTTCTGGATTTTAAAGTCTTTTGATTGCATGATTATGATTGAGTATTTTCCAAAGGTCCCACAGATGATAATAATACATATTTGCCAACTCTGCCATATATATGTTGCAAAGTTAAAGACTATTCAACAGAATATTAATTATTAAGGTTCTGTTTTTTGGTGTGTGGGTTTTTGCTCTACATTTTTTTCAGCTCTAAATTGTCAATATTAATTATTAATTATTAAGCATAATCCACATTGAACCGAACCTCTAAGAAGTTAAAATTTAGCTGTTATGGAGGACTTAATAAGAGCTGCAGTTTGCTAAGGACTTACATGCTGGGCACCATACTAGGTACTTAACATTTCATTTCTGCAAACAACCTGTATGGTTGGTGTTTTTCTATTTAGGTCACTATAAAGAAACCAGAATCTTCAGCAGTCGGGTAAGTAGGCTGAGATCACATAAGAAGTAACTGACATAAAGTTCATCCTCAAATGAAAACTATCCAGTTTGTTTTTTTATGAATGAGGAAATAGGACAGTAAAAAAAAATCTTGCCTTCTGATAAACTTTAAGTCAAAGATCCCCCATCCATATGTAGCTTATCAGAAATGTGTATCAACAAGTTCCATCAACAGTTCCTCTTACTAACTATATTATAGCTGACTATATATATATAAAAGCAATGAGTGCCTCTGACATGGTCTTGAAAGTATTCTCACATTTCCTTTCTTTCCACCTCACTTTAAGAGCAGAACTCATTGACAATTTAGAGCTGAAAAAATGTAGAGCAAAAACCCACACACCAAAAATTAGAACCTTTATGCACCTTGCTTAGGGTGTGCAGCTGGATAGTTATAAAGCCAGAAAAGATGATTCTCTTTCCTCCATTCTTCCCATCTGCAAAATGGAGTTTTCCTATGGTAGTTATAGATTTGACATTGGAACATTTCACATTTCAAAATTCTCAATAATTAACATTATTACTGAATGCATCCCCATGAGAGGGGGAGGAGACTCACCATGCAATGGCCCCAGGAACTGGTACCATATTCCCTCTACCACTTACACACAGCTGCTTTGGACTACAACTCCTAGCATGCCATAAACCTGGCAACTCAGAAGGAAGATGACTGAGGTGGATACATAAAACAAGGTATAATGAAGAAGGGGAAAAAGGTGGGGAGGCTGCTCCTGGCTGTTGGCCCTGGCAACTTCAGTATTTTGGCAAAGGCAATGGCAGCCATTACCTTGACCTCAGGGTGGATAATATGGCATATTTTGAATTTCAGATCTCTCATTCTGTCCCAGATCTCTGAGACTTGCATAACTCCTTTCTTGTAGTTCCTGCCAGTATGTCCCTTGAACTTGTTTTGGTGCATTGGGGCCTCAGCTGATCAGTTTTGGGATAGGCCTATTTTTTTTTTTTTTAATCTTAAATTTTATTTTTATATTCCCCATACAATTGCAAACGCCCCATTCTGACCCCAATCCTTCCCCTCCCGCCCCCCACCCCCCAAAAAGTGTCTCTGGTTCATAGTTTTTTGTTGATTTTGATTTTCACTTTCTTATATTCATTTTCCTGGTCCCTTATTTAAGTTTTCTAGATTCCTGCTATGAGTGAGACCATCCGGTATTTTTCTTTTTCTTTTTGGCTTATTTCGCTGAGCATGATCCCTTCCAGCGCCATCCATGTTGCTGCAAATGGCATGTGTTTATCTTTTTTGAATGCTGAGTAATATTCCATGGTATATATGTACCACATCTTCTTGATCCAGTCATCTACTTTTGGGCATTTGGGTTGTTTCCAAAGCTTAGCTATTGTAAACAGTGCTGCTATAAACATAGGGGTGCAGGTGCTCTTTGGAATTGATGTTTCTGTGGATAGGCCTATTTTGCGGAGTGTTTGGACAGGCGATTTTCAGAGTATGAGTGGGCATCTGTTATCTGAAATCCTTTCTTCCTGTTATCATTCTTTCTCCCCCCTACTCCATACCAATTAAAGATCTTTGAGCACACCAGAAGTATGCTTACTTTGCCCTTGTGTTCATGACGACTGATCAGTTTTGGGATAGGCCTATTTTGCGGAGTGTTTGGACAGGCGATTTTCAGAGTATGAGTGGGCATGTGTTATTTGAAATCCTTTCTTCCTGTTATCATTCTCTTTCTCTCCCCTACTCCATACCAATTAAAGATCTTTGAGCACACCAGGAGTATGCTTACTTTGCCCTGTGTTCATGATGACTGAACCCTTAAAATGGGTTTCCCTATAACAATTTTGGGCCCACGGGTACCCCTTGGTCACAAGATTTAAATATGGCTATTATATCCAAAATATGACTCATGATAAGCCAAATTTAACAAGCTAACCACATGATCATTAATTGCATCATTCAAATGTACTTACTATATATATAAAAAAAATCAAGCCTTGAACTGCAAAAAAATTAATGCTCTCCAGAAGACTGACAATGCAGATTTGCATTATCCGAAAGAAGAAAAAAGAATCCTTAAAACTACTTAGAGCTGTTTAGTTAAAGGGTCAGGTATTCATGCTGGCCCAAACTGGTTAAACCCTACCTTTGCTTCATTAATCCATTTGCATAATAAAACCTCCATTCAAGAGGGCAATTCAGTAGTTCATGCTTAAGTAGGATCTGAGCATAAAATTACACAGTGCCTGAACAACCCAGATTCTGGACATTCCAACCTGCTCCTGCCTGTCCAAATATCAATAGTACTATAAAAGCCCAAACTGCTTTAGAAAACCATGGCAGTGCTTTGAGAGCGTTAATCCATGTCCCCTTGCTTGATCCAAGTAATGAAACTATATCAAGAATCTTTGACTTTAGTCTGGTTAACTGGCTGACTCAACCAGGCAATCTTACAGTCACATCAAAGCAAATAAATATGACAGACATAACTTCACAAAACATTCTCTGCCTAGAATAAACACATAGGGAAATAAAAATGCAATATTAAGTTTGGGATCCTGTCATAATCTGCAGGGCTTTAGACTGCAATATGCATTCTGAATTTATCAGGGTAACCACTGAGTTTTTAAAAGGGTGCATAACTAACATGTTAATTTTTAATAATGCATACTTGAAACTTATGTTATAATGCAATGTTACTTCAATGAAAACAAAAATTCATGAGATGAAAGTAAAAAAATGTATAATAAGCAAAGAAGAAGCTGGATTAAAAATACTATTAATTCAATAGAAGGCAAGAAAGAAGGAAAAACAAATGACACAAATGAAAAGAAATAAGCTAACAAATTTAAACTCAAACATATCAGAATTTAAAGATACTGTTTCTCTTCTCATTCATTTCTGAATTGGTTTCACTCTAAAAACCTTTAGATTTTTAAATCAAGAAAGGTTAAGTCTTTCTGGGAGTAGAGAGGGCAATGATGATGGCATCAGAGCCTTAACAGGGTATACAAGTCAGAACACAGTAAGCAAAGCTTTAGCACTGCTGGGGGTGTGGAGGGGATAATGCTTACAACCTGCAATGGGGCATTTAAATGAGGAAAGCATCTACACAAGTATTCATAGTTCCCAACTTGTTTTAACACAGGAGCCAGATTTTTCATTGTAGAAGAGAAGTACAAGTAAGAAAAGGGAAGAATGAACTCTGTAGTACTGGACACAACTTACAATTATTGGTAGGACAGATGGAGAGTGAGAGAGTGAGCTAAAGAAGAAAGGAACAAGGAAGAGACATAATATATGTGTGTGTGAACTGTTCTCTCCTTTGAGGAGGTATAGGAACAGAAGCATCCCAATAGCATACGTAATGCCCAAATCTCAATTCTTAATAACCACTCTCCTCTACATCCTTTATAAGTCAACCTTTCAATGGAGGAACCTGAAAGACAATATCTCAAGCAAATGATAGAAGATTATCAACTGTTGGGGAAAAATTAATGCCATTTATCCCTGATAACAGATATAGTGGGAAGAACCTAGTATCACTTCTATGGTATTTCTGCCAATATGGTCCTAGCAAGAAGAAACATCAATCAACCCAAACTGAGGAGGCATACTAAAAAGTAACACATACTATTGAAAAATGCCCATGTCAATAAAAATTAAAAAATGACTATGAAACTTTTTCTTACTAAGGGAGACTAATGAGGCATGACAGCTAAATGCAGTAAATGCTCTGCACTAGATCCTGGATGAATAAAGGCAGAAACTGGAATGGGATCTGTGGTCTACAGATCCCATTAGATCAATGTTAGTTCCCGAATTTTGATGGATATCCTATAGTTACGTAAATCCTGCCCTTTGTCCCTCTGTATTAAGGCATACTACAATTATGTACAACTTGCTTGCAATTGATTCTGAAAAAAATCAGTAATATATAGAGGAGTGTCAGCAGAGGGAAGGAGGTAGTGCAAGAGGCAGGCAGGGGAGAGAGAAGGAGAATCTATGTCATAGAAAGTAATTATACAGGCAAGTTAAATGAGGTATAATGTAACAAATGGGGCAAGCTTTAACAGACTGTTTTTAAATTGTTTCTCTTTGGTGGTATAACAGACATATCTGTCATCTTCTCCTTTCAATAAATCTAAAGGCATTGGTCCAGAATGTGACTATAAGTCTGAGGCAGATAGATAGATGTCTGCCTTTTAAAATCTGGTTTTGAAATAGTTGTTTTCCCTTAAGGACATTCTGAAAGAATGACTGGATAAACAAGATAGAATACTCTTCCTTTCCTTCTAAATTAAAAAAGGCATCTTTCTTACCTTCAACCCGTGATTCCAAGTACTTATCCAACTCTGAATCTTTTCTCACTGCTTCTTCTGAGACCTTGGGGGCATTTGAAAGGCAAACTAGTACAACACTCATGTTATCTCGACTTCCCTGTATATTAAAGAAAAAGAAAAATTGTATTTCAACAGCTTACCAACACTGTATTTACTTCATAACAAAGTTACTTACATTAAGCAATTATAGTTTATTTAATCACCCAGAAAGCAGACATTCATTTTCACTCCAAGAACAATCTGAAAAAACACCCTGAAGAAATAGTTTCTAGTTTCTTATTTTTAGACTTTCGAGTCTACCTATTCTTACCACCATTCTAAAGCTTGAGGAATGTGAAGATATCTTCACATGTATTAAATCTTCCAAATGGTTTCCCACTCAAGAGCACATATTCTCAGAGAATTAAGTCCAAAAATGCATTCTCCCAAACAAATGTGCAATTTTTCCCCCAGCTAATCTACCTGGGTCAGAGAAATTCTACAAAAACTATTGAGTTTGATATTGCTGAGAATCACTGATTCAGCAGAATATTCAAGTCACTAAACTGAACAACTCTAAGTAGAAAAAAACAGCAAAATTGGAAACTTTTCTGAGTACAGCCTTAAACAACATAACATTAACTGGATGGCTAAGATAACACTATAATCATATTGAATAACTTTTGAAGAAAAGACATCAAATAGTTACACAGAATCATAAATAGTGTCAAGGTCTGTAGAAAGCAGCTAAAACTGCTAATTAAGGACAAATTTTACTGCAGCCTTTTAAAATCACACCCTCAAAGAAATGATCTACATTAAAAAGGAGCACAGAATACATACTACTCTATTACCATGAGATTATGAGCAATAAATTAAAAACACTTTCTCATTACTTTTCCTAAAGGCATAGTACTAGTTGAGATTCTTAGAAGAGAGTGAAACTGTTCTTAGAACAGTGATGTTTTTCAATCCCTTCCCTCTTCTGTTCACCACTCTAAAAAATTAAGTCAATGGAGGTGGTAGACTATTTCATGTTGATAATGGGGAATGCCAACCCAGGTGACAAGTCATACCAGTTCTAGTCTTTTTGGTTATTAGGGGCAGAATCTATGCAGACATTGTGTAGTTTGTATTTGCCACTATTTCAGAACACAAGTGACACAGAGCCAAAAAGACAGGCAAGGTGGCCTTAAACTTCTGCTACCACCTTCTAAAACGCAAAGCAGCAAAACTAGAAGGCAGGGGCAGTCCTGTCATAAGATGGCTTCCTCAAAATAGTAACTCTTCATAGACTCAAGCCTCGAAAGAAAGAGCCGTAAGGTATATAACCAGATTCTCAATATTTGGCAAAAATCAGGATTTTCAAATTGACCCAACTAATTGCATTCCTTAATGAAATTCACCAAAACCTTCATGATGACTTACTAGAAATACCGCACTGTATGTGTGTATCTCTCTTTCTCTTTCTGCACTGGCTCTCTGTCTCTCTTACACACACACACACACACACACACACACACACACACACACACACATTCATCTCTCTCTCTCTCTCTCTCTCTCTCTCTCTCTCTCTCTCTCTTCCAAATAGGAAACAAACCCACAAAACAAGATTCGGGCATTTACCACATAACTTCATGTCAGGGAAAAATCTTATACTATAAATATTTAAGAAACACATTACTTGAAAACTAATTTTTAAAAGCAATTTCATAAATAAACAGAACATCTTACATTTTCAAAAGTCCCGTTTCTTCTAATCATTTTCTATTTTGGTAACAACAGCATAAGTGTTGTTTAACAATTCCTAATCTATCTATATATAAAATTTTAATTAGGTTTTTGTAAGTCATAAGACATGTCTTAACAATTCAAAAATTAACTGAAAGAATTATCAAGGATACCTAAAGAAAATAATTTATATTTCTACCTCAGCATTTTAAGATCAATGATACTTTTAAAAACCTATTTTACATGAAAATGACTTTCTTACAAAAGAGTATGTGTGCTTTCAGCAATTTACAGGCAGCAACTGCCCCTGTTTTCTTGAACTAAATCATCCTTACATAAAAGAAATGATTAAAAAAAGAAAAAACAAGCAAAACCCCATTTTGGACAATTAAAACAACTAGCCTGATCTTTCACATTAATTATTTCAATATCTTTTTTTACTTTTTAATTTGGTAATAGTAGAACAGTAATACTTAAAGAAAATAAAGCATTATAGATAGTAATAGGTCAAAGTAACCAATGCTTTTGCCATAAGTAAGGGTATCTAAATTTAACTGAAAATAATTTTATACTGTTAGTTTTAAAGTTGAACACTGCATGGTTACAAAGAATTGTCCCAACTCAGGTGTTAACACAACCTATAATACAGGTTGTGAAGAGACCCTCTATTAATGCCAGTATAAATGAACACCTGACAAATGTCATCAATACTGCTCATTTTTTTTTGTAATAGAGGCATGTTTTATTTATTTATTTATTTTTGTTAGTTTGTTTGTTTATACAAGCACTGGGTACAGTCAGAAGCACGGGAGGGTGAGAGAATTCGCCAGAGCCAGAGCGGGGAGCAGAGCAGGCAGAAGGACAGAAGAACACTGCTGAGGGGAGCAGCGGGCGGCAGGAGAGGTCTGCGCGCCATGTGGGACCCTCCTCCGGTGGCCGGGGAGCAGCCAGGGATCGAACCGGCGCCGCAGAGTCCACAGGCAGCTTCGCAACCCAGCGCTCAACCGCTGCGCTACCGGGGAGGCCCAATACTGCTCATTTTTTAAAAACCTGGCATTCACTATAATTATCTCACTTACATATAGTAAAAACAAAAAACAAGCTGAAGAAACAGTCCAAATTTCCACTATCTGTGTAAAGATGAAGTCTATTATTATTTCTTTTCAATAGCATTCACCTCTTATCACCATTACTTTATTACTTGAATATTCCCTCCATACAAATTTATCTTTGTTTCAAAACTATCATCAACAGAATAAAAATTTATTGAGTTCTGTAAACCAATAATGTTCAGGGATCTGCCAAAAGTTTTACTCTCAACAAGTCCATGAGGAAAATATTATCACCCACGTTATAGATGATGAAACTGAGGCTCTTCCCAAATTCATAAGTGGTACAGCATAACTTAAAACCCAGCTATATCGTTATGAAGTCTGTGTTTTAACAAGAGAACCCATGGTTCTCAAACAGAGCACCAAAAAGTCCCAGGTACCAGAGTATGCTTACAGAAACATTTTAAATGAGGGAGAAACATAGCAATATTTAGTATCTGCAGACACCCTCAAACTACCATGAGCTAAGTTCATGGTTTCCACATTAGATAACATTAGATAACACCCTCTTTGCAAAGCTGAGATTAAAAAAAACAAATCCCCATAAAAATCAACTAACAGAGGAACTGAGAGTGGCAGTGCCCTCAAACTTCCAAGTTTTAAGATTTTGTACAGTGTCCAATAGGAACACACCTCTCATTAGTATGTGATAGTGTTTTTTAAAAAAATAAAACACTTCAATGTGTATGTATAACATGAATATGTGTTAAGACATGTATACTAATTAAGTGTGGATCTAACTAATATCTATAACTGTTAAATATTAATGTGGTTAAGTAGTATTGTGAAAAAAATAAGACACTCAGACACCATCAACCAAGAAAGTCTGAGAATCTCTATACTATATACTGTACTTTTACTATCAGTTCTTCTCTGTAACTCAAAATATGTAATGACACCCCACACTAATACTATGTTTATTATATTTTCTGAAAACTATATGGAAAGAAATTCTCTAAGTTTAGAGGTAAACAATTATTTGGGGGAATACACAAATGTATCAATAATCTGGACTGATAGTATCTTTGCAAAATAAGTCACTAACTTTCCTAAATTTAAATTATTTATCCAGCTCATGTTTTAAAAAATAAGCAAGCTGGGCCTCCCCGGTGGCGCAGCGGTTGAGCGCTGGGTTGTGAAGCTGCCTGCAGCCTCTGCGGCACCGGTTCGATCCCCGGCTGCTCCCCGGCCACCAGAGGAGGGTCCCGCATGGCGCGCAGACCTCTCCTGCCGCCCGCTGCTCCCCTCAGCAGTGTACTTCGGTCCTTCTGCCTGCTCTGCTCCCCGCTCTGGCTCTGGTGAATTCTCTCACCCTCCCGCGCTTCTGACTGTACCCAGTGCTTGCATAAATAAATAAATAAATCTTTAAAAAAAAAAAAAAATAAATAAAAAATAAGCAAGCTTCTGATAGGTGGTTTACAAACTTTAGAGAAATCAAACAGTACAATTTTGCTTCAAACATCTTTGTATTTGTTAAAATTTTTATATTATTATTTGAAAATTTATTTATTTCTGCTTAGATGAACTATGGGTGTAGGCCAGAGGTGGGGGAGGTGAGTGGATTCACCAGAGATAGAATGAGGAGCAGAACAGGAGGATCTACTGAAATTCACTGCTAAGAGGAGAGGCGAGTGAGATAGGAGGTCTGCTCGTCCTATGTGGTCAGCTTCCTGGCTAGGAAACTCAGGTCATAGTGGTGATAGCGTGATAGCGCTGAGACTTAACCCCTACATCACCAGGAAGGCCCCCCAATTTTTTTATTATTCTTACAATTATTTTTTTTTAAAAAAAGATTTATTTATGCATACAAGAACTGGGGAAAAGGGCAGAGGTGTGGACGGTGAAAGGATTCACCCAGAGACAGAGTGGGGAACAGAACAGGCAGACTGACTGAAATACACGGCCGACGTGAGCAGCAGGCAAGTCAGGAGCTACGCCATGTGGGTTGCTCCCTGGCTGGCTGGGGGATCGAACTCATACTGCAGTGGCTGTGAACTGCTTCATAGGTTACGTCTTAATCCCTTGCGCCACCAGGGAGGGCCCTCTTAGAATTATTGATAAGAATAAAGTCTAGTATTTCCCTTGGGGAAGTTTTCCCATCAAATCCTCTGGGGACACCTTGGTAACATGCATGCGAAACTTGGGTCAGAAAACACAATTCCAGTCTCAATAGTCTACCATCAACAGTTATCAAATATATGGCTTACCACACACTATCTTTTACAGTCGATACCCACTTCTGTACTTGAAAACTAGAAACAAATTTTTTCAGTTTGTTCATGTCAGAAGTTTTCTATGAGCATGAACTAAAATGAGTTTGATTTATAGGTTATGAAAGGTCATGCAATATCAGCTACATATTCCATGCAACCAGAAATTAGTTGTCAATAAACATCATAAATGCTAGCAATGGCAATAAAATGTGAAGGCACTCTCTCAGAGACCATTCTCCCCCAGAGTTAAATACCTAAATAGGTTATGTGACCACTCATCAAACACAGCTTCATACTATTAAATGGCAACCCCCCCCAATGATTACCATTAGCAATAATTGTTCTAACTACCTTTTAGAGTTGTGAAAATTCAATGAGTTAAAACATGAAGTGCTTAGAACAGTATTCGACTCATAGAAAGCAATAATTTGCTGATACTATTGTGATTATGATCATCACAATCTCCTAAGATTTCATGAGTTAACATATGAAACGTATATATTACATGTAATATATGTACAAGTGGATGAAAACCAGTAAGGAATGAGTGTTAGACATATTGGAAAATAGTAAGACTTCATTTAAATCTATTATCAGGAAAGCATTACTTAACTGGATGTATTCTATTTATCTCTCCTCCTAAAGCCACTAACATTTAATAATTGCTAAGTACTTGCTTTACATAGATTTAAAATATATAACCAATCTTTCAGACTACATTTAAAATAATTAATTTTTTAAACTACATTATTCTATAATATTGTAACCCTTCGCTGTTATATTACAAACAAGTAAATTTACGGAGTTAGAAAAGCAGGAATGAAGATGTTTCTCAAATTCCTTTAAGTATCATTCAGGGGTTCAAAAAACTCTGAAGTCTATTAGGTTTCAGAAGCTATTAAGCTCTTCAAAGCTGATTTCAAATTTGAATGCAGCTTCATTCAAAATAGCTAAGACAGCCAACTTCCACTACAATTGAGTAAATTATGTGTAATAACCCCTTGTCTGGTTACTATTATTTAGCATTTCGGAGATTTTAATTTGCCTCGACTCTTTTGGTAGCATCACCAGGTACATGAACCACTAGCGAGTGAAGATATGCCACCAGAATCATTTAAAACCCATTGAGGAGGGTGGGGCCAAAATTCCAGAAAACGGGCCTCCCCGGTGGCGCAGCGGTTGAGCGCTGGGTTGCGAAGCTGCCCGCGGCCTCTGCGGCGCCGGTTCGATCCCCGGTTGCTCCCCTGCCACCGGAGGAGGGTCCCACATGGCGCGCAGACCTGTCCTGCCGCCCACTGCTCCCCTCAGCAGTGTACTTCGGTCCTTCTGCCTGCTCTGCTCCCCGCTCTGGCTCTGGTAAATTCTCTCACCCTCCCGTGCTTCTGACTACACCCAGTGCATGTATAAACAAAAAACAAAACAAATAAATAAATAACATGCCTCTATAAAAAAAACAAACAAACAAACAAACAAACAAACAAACAAAATTCCAGAAAACTAATTTCCTTTTAATGGGCGGGAAAATACTGTATATTCACTATACAAATTTATTCTCTTTACTCCAAATTACAGGCTTAATAGATTTTTTTACTATTCCCTCAGTTAGACGTCATTAGACAGAATGCAATGCAACCACGAATAATGTCTTAAATTTAAAAAATTATCGATATGGAGAGTTCTGTAATATATTGCTGATTGCAAAGGCAGATTGGAGAGTAACAAAGATAATGATTTCATTTGTGTAAAAACACACATACTCATAGCCAGGCAAAAAAATATTGGAGATATGCAACAATGAAAATAGCTTAGTTGGGTGGCAAAATTTTTAAGTGCTTGTATATTCCATATTATCTGGACTTAACCAGTAACAAACATTTTTTTGTAATGGGGAAAATGCTATTTCCATTTGCTAATCAAGCAAAAAACATGCTATAGGTCAGAATCACTCATTTAGAGTTCAAGGAAAAGCACATTTTAGAGTCACTTACAATTAAATCACTGACAAGCATTGATACTTCTATATGTGACTTAGGTAGAGAAGTAAAAAGCATACAGTGTTTAAAGAGAAAAAAAAAAATAAATCAAAAGGACTAGCAGTACTAGCATCAAGAAACTTTCAGGAAAAAAAGGCTTCCAACTGGAAAATCCCAGCCCTTAAATTTTTTTCCTTTGTGCAGTTGTCTCTTCCCATTCTATAAAAAAGTAGTAGAGACTTCACCAAAACCTGGACATTTCCACAGATGTAGATCCTTTCTAAGAAAGGTTCTGGCTATGCTTGTACCTTCCACAGCAAGACAGAATGGTTCTAATCTAAACAGTCAAAATCTTTATTTCATATAACCAAATGTTAGTTTTGTCTTGGTATCTTTTCAATCACAGAATACTTGCATATTCCTAACTCAAAATTTAACTGATTACTATAGAAACATCATAAAAAAGTTTAAAAAAGAAAAAAAACCCACTTGAAACTGTGTTTAGTAGCTCGGTAAAGACACCCAAGGAAATGGTTGCTTCTTCTCTATTTCTCTGGATTTCCCCCTTATTACTGAATCAAGTTAAGATTCATAGAAGATTACAGATCTAAGTTAAACTTCAGTGTTCCACAGGAACTCTTCAGAGAACACATACTAACCTTTGGTTTCTAATCAGTGATGATAAAATATGAATTCTATATGAAAAGAATGCGGATATCTTTTACTAAGGTTACTATCCATCATGTTATACATCGCTTAGTTACGTGCAAATTCCTTTTAAATTTTATTGCTAGGGAAGAGCTTCCTTTTACTAGATAGAAAGAACTATACAACTCATACTTTTACTTCAGTTTTTGTCTTAGTGGCTCAGAAACTAAATTACAAAACTTTACTTGGCATAGATTACTCTTTTGTATATCTAATACCAAATTACACTATATGCATATTTAATAAAATTGTTTCAAAATAAGATTGATAGTTTTTGCCAATATATATAGGAAATTTGAACCAAAATTCACAATTCTGTAGAGATGCCTCTGCCACAGCAACAAGCTATAAAGTACTTATTAAATGACAGCAAATGTCTTAAAATTATTAAACTTAATTTTCAAACTAGAAGGTTGAGAAAAACATGAATGGCAAAAGAGAAGTTTCCTTTCTGGAAAACTTTAGAATATCAGAAACATCAATGAAAACATTAAAAATTTAATGTTACTTACCAATCCTTTCAAAATTAATAGGGTACTTTAATTATAACAAAAAGACTTACACATACCTTATGTAAACAAGTGTCCACTACCCAATTGCACACATTTTCCAGGTCATCAGATACCTCAAGCCTAGATTTAACAAATTCACAGAGCTCCTCATTACTCATAACATCCCAGATCCCATCACAAGCCAAGATGATAAATTCATCCTCTTCTGCTCTTAAAATTTCATAAACCTCAGGCTCTGGAGAAACAAGTTGTTCTGTTGGGCCCTTGCCATCAACACACTTGTAATCATAGTCCCCCAGAGCACGAGACACTGCTAATGAACCATTAACACGTTGTATCATTACGCTGCCGCCTGCATTTTGGATTCGCTCCTTTTCCCTTGGATTGCAAGGTTTGTGATCTTGGGTAGAAAAGCAGACTTGTCCATTCCTATACAGAACAGCACGTGAATCACCACAGTTGATAAAGTAGACATGCTTAGGTGAAATCATAACTCCCACTGCAGTTGAACCGCTCCTGTCCATTCCATTTCTGAGGTCTGAAAAGTTACGCATGTATTCATCAATTTTCAAAAAGCCAGTTCTGATACCATTCTTGACATTTTCCACTGAAGGCTCAAGAGCAGATCCTGATTTTCCAGCTGCCCTAAAGTCTTCATTATTAGTGATGTGTTCTAATAAATGTGTTGAGCAGTAATTTGCTACACGGGATCCAGCATGCCCATCATAAACTGCAAAAAACGACCAGTCTTCCAAGCCTTGAGGAATACCTACAACAGCCGTGTGAGCATCTTCCATTTCCACTCTCCATCCCTGCATGCTGCTTAAGCCATAACGTAAACCATTCCCAGCACCATGAGCATTATGTTTCTCAGTTTTGGGTTTATCCAAAAATGCACCCATGTTTAGTAATGAATCTGAAAGAAAAAAAAAGTGTAGGTATTAATATTAAAATTTGATAATTAATCCACAATATTTTATCAATTCTCTATTAACTTCAATCTCAAGTGTATTTTTAGTATTATCCAAATATACTAGAACAAAAAAAGAAACCAAAAAATTTCCTACAGTATTCTAAAACAATGCTTTCTCAATCCTAGCATACGAGAATAAACAGATTAAATCAGAATCTCTGGGGGGTGGGATCCAGATTTTCTCAGTAATTTTTTTAAAAAGCTTCTTTAGTGATTCATGCAGGAAGTTGAGACCCACTATTTTAGGAGAAAGGAAAATCAAGAAATAAAACCTATTAGATTCAAATGCAATTTGTAAGTTTAAGGGCCAATGTATATATAAAACTGGACAATATTTAGAATGATAGAACATTGAACTCAATATTTTAAAAAAAAGGTAGAAAAGTATACTAATAATTTTTTAAAAGGCTTCCAAAAGTATGGTAATCAGGAGTCATCCCCAATGATCATGAAGGCAGTCCCAAAATCCAAAAAAAAAAAAAACCATAAAATCTCTATTCCACATTTGATCTTATCAAGGTTTTATTGAATAGCAAATTGAAATCTTTACTTGGATTTGCTGAAATCTACTATTTGGATTCTGTTAAAGACAAGCATAGCTCTAACAATGTGCTAAAGAATAAAGAACATTAATTATACTGTTGATTTCTATGCCCCATGAAGTAGCATTTGGGTAACTTTTACTATACACTACGGTATAGTATAATAAACTGTAAAGTACTATGCTCTCTGCAAACCAACCAAAGGAATAACTTACACTAACACTGTGAGTGAACCATTCAAGACCCAGCAGATACATCCTGTCCATTTTAATATATCACTATTTCCTTGAAGAAGTAAATCTACCTAAAAAATAGTAAAATGCATAAATGTACTCAGTGCAAGACTGAAAACTCGGATAAAATGGTATCTATAAGTCAGTATCAAACTATGGCAAAGCACATCATAAATTCATGAAAAGATGATGCATGCATCTGGAGGGGAAAAATTCTTTCTGGGAAGAATTTAGAGAAAGACAAAATATTTAGTGCTGCTTTGTTGTAACACAAGTATCAAATTCTGCCTAAATGATTTCTATTTCTGTAAGAAGCCAGGTGAAAACATAATTCTGATGTTGCACTTTTGTAATTTTATAGAACATGGTTAACTGATACTTTCCTAGACATGAATATTAAAGTTATACTATGAGGCATGTTAGCAAAAACCTACATTTCCAGTCATTCTTGCAATACATTTCTTCAGTCTAAGACACTGCAGTGTAAGCATACTCTCAAAGAGACCTGATAATAATGCAACATTAATGCAAATTTCAGCTAGCAACATAAGAGCTGCTGGAAAACACAAACCGATTTTTCCATATTTCACAATAGCAGAAAATAAAGCTCTTCGGATACCCCTGAGGAAAAATAAAAGTTGTAAAGAGTAGAATTACATCTTATATAGTGCTTAGTGTGTAAAGTCAACATATGGCTAACATGATGGAAGACTCAAAATTACTCTTAAAAACCTGAAAAACAACCAAAGCTATCAATTATATGACCAGGCACTTGGGCCTATAACTTCACCTGTTACCAATCAACTCATTTAATCTTTGCAACAACCTTAAGAGGTAGACACTACCATTATTTTATAGATGAGGGTACTACCTCACAGAATGGCTGAGTAATAATCACTTCAGGTAGGCAGGAAGTTGTTTAACCAGGCTACCTGGCTCCAAAGTTCATTCTCTCAACTACCAGCAACAAATAATACATTAAATATTAAAAGCACGCCATTTTCCCCCTCCAGAGTTGAAACAAATCTTCATTTCCTTGCATGAACAAAAATATCTGTATGTCAGAATCTTCACAGATTTCTCTCACAGTACTTCATTACTAAATTCTTTCAAGTCTACCTCCAAATATATCCAAACGAAGTCTACTTCTCTCCATCTGTAGTTGCACCATCCAGTTCCAGTCATCATCATCGCTTGCCTAGGCTACTACAATAACCTAGTGACCTGCTTCCACTTTCGTCTCCCAGTATTTCACTCCCCAGAGTGATCTGTCTTAAAAATAATGGAATCATGTCACCCAACTTCCCAAATCATTTAGAAGAAAATCCAAACTTTTTATTAGTGCCCTATATAACCTGGCCTCTGCTAGTTCAACTTAATTCTTTTTTTTAAAAAAAGATTTATTTATTTATTTATTTATTTATTTATTTATTTATACAAGCACTGGGTACAGTCAGAAGCGCGGGAGGGCGAGAGAATTCACCAGAGCCAGAGCGGGGAGCAGAGCAGGCAGAAGGACCAAAGTACACTGCTGAGGGGAGCAGCGGGCGGCAGGAGAGGTCTGCTTGCCATGTGGGACCCTCGCCCAGCGGCCAGGGATTGAACCGGCACTACAGAGGCTGTGGGCAGCTTCGCAACCCAGCACTCAACTGCTGCGCCCCGGGGAGGCCCCTAGTTCAACTTAATTCTTGTAACTTCCATCATTACTTACTGCTCTCTAGCAAGTGGTCTTTTCAACTGCCAATACTCCAAGCTTGTTCTTCATCCATGGACTTTTATTTTTACTGTTTTCTCTTTTTACCTATCCACTCCTATTCTTTCTTGACTACCCAATTTAAAGTGTTCGCAAAAGACCATCACAGCTCATTTTCTGTTTTTATTTTACTCAAGAGTATGCTGAAATTGGTTTTGATTTTTTTTTTAACCCTAGCCAGAAAGTTCCATAGAAAAACTTGTCTTTTTTTTTTTTTTTTTAAAGATTTTATCTATTTATAAAAGAACTGGGGTGCAGGCCAGAGGTCTGGGAGCTGAGAGGATTCACCAGAGACAGAGTGGGGAGCAGAACAGGCAGAGGGACAGAAGACACTGCTGAGGGGAGCAGTGGGCGAGGCAGGCGAGGTCTGCTGTGCCATGTGGGATTCTCCCTGGCTGGCTGGGAATTGAACCCACGCTGTAGAGGCTGTGGACAGCTTCACAGCACGGCGCTCAACCCACTGCACCACAAGGGAAGCCCAAAAAACTTCTGTCTTGTTGGCTGCTAAAATCACTAAACTACACATGGCACATTTGTAAGCATCTCATAAGTATTTATTTGTCAAATAAATTAATGAATGAGCAAGTGAACACTAAATGAAGTAGCTGGCTTGCTCTAAATAATATTCAATAATGCTTACATTATGGCAGGTCTACTTCAATTCAAGCTCATTAAAGATAGAAAACAGAAATACAACTGTCAGCTATAGTATAAGTTTTTGAGTGCATTGAGGCTTAAATATATAAAGCAATGTGTTTAGTTCTAAGAAATCCATTTTAAGAGGGACATAAACAAAACTAAAATATATACTGAGTAGAAGAATGAGAATAGCACACAGCCCAGAAAACAGATCAAATAAAGAACATCTGAGGAAGGTGGCACTGTGTAGACTAGAGGATACCGTGACTATGGATTAATCTTAATACACAAGTATTAACTCCTAACTGATGGAGAATACAGAATCCTTTTAAAAGAAGAAAGATCATATTCATTTGTTCCAGAGGGCAGATATAGAATTAATGGATGGTCTGGCTTTCATTTCATTAAGACATTTTTAAAAATTATGTTATTAGGGATGCTAAATGAAAGGGGTTCAATATATACTATTATTTCTAGTTTTACACATACTGGAAATTTTCCCTAACAAGAATTCTTTTAAAAACTAATTTAATGCTATTTTCCTAAGAACTATTATAAAAAGGACTACTTCATGAGCAGTCACACATGGATACTTTTTTTTTAATAAAGATTTTTATTTATTTATTTATACAAGCACTGGATACAGTTAGAAGTACGGGAGCGTGAGAGAATTCACCAGATCCAGAGCGGGGAGCAGAGCAGGCTGACTGAAGTACACTGCTGAGGGGAGCAGCGGGCAGCGGGAGAGGTCTGTGCACCATGTGGGACGCTCCTACGGTGGCCGGGGAGTAGCCGAGGATTGAACTGGCGCTGCAGAGGCTGCGGGCAGCTTCGCAGCCCAACGCTCAACCACTGAGCCACCAGGGGAGGCCCACACATGGATACTTTTTTTTTTTTTTTTTAAGATTTATTTATTTATTTATACAAGCACTGGGTAGGGTCAGAAGCGCGGGAGGGTGAGAGAATTCACCAGAGCCAGAGCAGGGAGCAGAGCAGGCAGAAGGACCGAAGTACACTGCTAAGGGGAGCAGCGCGCTCCTCCGGTGGCTGGGGAGCAGCCAAAGATCGAACTGGCTCCGCGGAGGCTGCGGGCAGCTACGCAGCCTAGCACTCAACCGCTGCGCCCCCGAGGAGGCCCATGCACATGGATATTTTTGATCTTAATAAAATTTAAACTGGAGAACATGCAGAGGAAAGAACTACCCTAAACAACTTTATTCCTTCATAATTACAAATGTCAGATATCTGCACTTTTACCAGCCCTACAGCCAAAAATAAGACTCAGTCATCTCAAAAGCATGATGGGACAGACTGGACTGAGACCTGATCAGAAAGCAAGCCTTTTCAGGACAACCAGGATGACTAATCTGAGAGGGTTAACGTTCTTCTCAACCCTTATTATTTCAATTAACTTTCGCTCCAGAGGCTTACTATAACAAGTAACTATAATAGGCTTTCATCTAATTTGAGGCACTGAGGAACAAGCAAATACTTCCATAGTGCTCACTCTGTGGCAGACACTGCTTCAAATGCTTCACAACATTAACTCATTTAAATTCTACCCTTCAGAAAATAAATATCAAAGAAACCTTAACCAAAAATTTTAGACAAAGCAAATCATAAAATTTCAACAAAGGACAATCAGATACCGCAAAATTCCCCTTCTCCTTCCCACAGCTGGCACACTATTTCTTGGAGGGGCACATGGACATTGGCAAGCCTTGCTACTAGGGCAATCTGTCAATCCCATCTGTTTCTTATCAAAAGGATGAGGTG